TTTCCCCCCCCCCCCCCCAAAAAAACAAAAAAAAAACAAAGTATGAACCGAAGCGTGGATTTGGAGAATCACCACACGCCTAGTAATTACTGAATAAAACGGTATAAAATACCCCTCCTTTAATAACTGTGTGGCTGAATATTAGTATCAACATTAATTCCCATCCTTTGCTGGACCTGGTTCACATGCTTTTTACTGGTAACTGTACAATATTCTCTCTGACACTGATGTGCAGTTTCCTGTTTTTCCAATCTCTTGGAACATCCACCATGTTTTTTTCTAAAGTTTCCTTCCTGGGGAAGGTCATTCAGAAATACACAGACCAACATCAAGGCTTGACCACAGTCCAATCAGGTCCTCCTTCCTATCCTCCAATTTTTCTACCACAGATCTTACATTGCATGTAAAATGATGACACTTTAATCCAAAGAGATGCACTGTTTCGGAGATGGGCTCTGATGGTCCCGGGAGTGATTAGGGTTAAGGGTCTTGTTCCAGGGCTAAAGGGGAAACTAATCTACAGACTCTTGGAATTGAACCACCAACCCTGCAGTTACAGGCACAGCAGCCAAACCCACCGCCCCACACAACAACCGCAGAAGTAAAATGCAGACAATGCAGTTTTATTCAAACTAATCGTCAATGTGGAATTAGGACTTGCATAACGGTCAGGAGAGTCAAGGTGATTTAAGTGTCTGTAAATGATGACCTTTGGAGGTGATCTGAAATAGACTCGCATATAACCTAAAGTAAAGAAAGACCTGAGTTTGCTGAAAACTTGGTAGCTTGAGGATAAAACAGTGATGAAACATGGGTGCAATCATTGTTTTTTAGGTCTGGCCCTCCTTGCGTGCAGAGTGATAAACTGTGCCTAGCATTCCGAGAAATCCTCCTCCTCTGTATTGTGTGTCATTTTATTGTTTATTTCTTGAAGTGTCATTTTTCCAAACCACATTCGAAAAGTCGCTGTTTCCCAGTTTTTCATTTCCCATCTTCAAAATAAGCAAAATCTAGAAAGGCCTCTCGTCATTGTTCTGAAGTCTTTTAAAAGTCTTGATGACTGCAGAGGTCAGAACTAGCGGTATACAGACTTGTGATCCTTAGCGTTTTGGGTCCTGTGACAGTGGCGTCTTTGATTAAAAAGTCTGTGACCATCGGTGCCAGTTGATTTGCACAGTGTCTCTAGAGAGACTATTCAGACTATTCAGCCGTTGACAGATAGTTACAACTGGTGTAGCGGCAGACAACATGATGAGTGATTAGTGGGGGGAGGTTTGGGTCAGCTTAAGGCTTTTGAACACTTCAGTGGTCGTTGGCCAAATGCCGGCCGTCTGTGGAGTGCTTTTGTTGTACTTTTTATAAAGCAAAAGTTGCAGTCGTGTGAAAGCTGGGTGCTAGATCAACAAAGAGTGCAAAATGGCAATAAGGGTGGTATTCTGAGGACAAATAAAAGATGTTTGTCAGTTTTGGGGAGGGAATCCTCCCTTTCTGTCGAATCTGTCACCTTGCTCTGGCTCCTCTCCTTTCTTGCATCTTGGTTATTCACTCACCAGGAAGTTCTACCTCTGCTTTCCCTTTTATAATAGAATTTATTGCTCCTTTGGTTACTTTTTGATAGATTCCAGAATTCCTTCTAATTAGAGACTTCAAGGACGCAATAAAATATGTCTCTCAGGAGTGTATTTCCTCAGGAAAAATAGTATGTAATACATAGGCTATTCACTTTGTAATAAGATGTATAAGTAATATATCTCTGTTTTAGCCATAGGGAATTCCTTCTCATAGGGAATTCCTTCTCTATGGCCAAATACTTGTGTAATTTATGTAGGTCTATTTGTTTCTGCACGGCCGTGTTTTTGTTCTTTCTGGGTTTATCCTGTGTTCATCAAAGAAACACACTAGCTTTGACAAAGCACAGATGTTGCTGCCTTTGAACCTATTCCTAGGTTTGCACGTCTAATTCTGCTAGTCCCTTAAGGTTCCTCAGTTGACCACAGCATGAACCTGCCCCCCACACTCCATATCCCACCAAGCATATAATTATATATTTGTAGCACAAGCATTGGTCACATCTGGCAGGTTGGAGCAGATATGATTTCCCTTTCAGTACAGTCCAGCCCTGTGATCTTAATTACAGTGCTGTCTTCCCCAGGTGTGAAGGCATTAGCTTCCTCCTGCCCAGGATTAATCGTCGTGGACCTGACCAGGTGTAGGTCCATCACGGATGAAGGCGTCCTAGCCCTGGCGGCCCAGTGCAGGCTTCTGGAGGTCATCAGTCTCAGCGGCTGCTTGGGTCTCACCAGCGCCGCCCTACTGGCATTGGCACAAAACTGCAAAGTTCTGCATAGCATCTACATCTCTGAGACACGGGTAAGATGGAATGCCACTGGACCAGTGGGCTCTGTTCTGTGTTTGACATCCTGATTTATTGGCTGAAATGTATGAATTAAAATGGCTCTATTTATTGGTAATTCCCCAAAGATTCAAAACGGTGGCTTTGATCATCTAACCGCTGAGCTGTGTTTAATAATGTTTGTGCTCATGCGGAGCCTCTCGCAATCACGCACACAGGGATAGACTGAGGGCCATTCAGTGACATCATTTCGCCTGAACAACTAAAACCAGAGTAATCATTTTAAGTTTGATTATTATCAAGCCTATGAATATGTAGTGGAAGAGTATAAAGAAATATATTGCAGAGTAGCTACAAATTCGTTGGGAATCCCCTTTACTTAAAATGCATGAATTCTTTTTGAAATATGATTAATTCTGTTCCTGGGTTAGCCGTGTTTTATGGTTTTTCAGGTGACTGATGAGGGTGTCATCGGACTCGCTAATGGGATGTGTTCCAGCAGCTTGAAGGTAAAAAGTAGTGTCGGTGTGTGCTTGTGTACCCAAACGGTAATATACCAAAGCAACACTTCTGAGAGTTTGTTGTTCTATATGGTTATGGTTGATCTTATATATGATTATTACTACAACTATTACTACTAATAATAATACATTTTATGGGTAACTTGCATCTCTGACACCTAATGCGCAACACAGTAAACAAAAAAGAAAAAGTTAAATAAAACAGGCAGTAAAACAACCAGTGAAGGAAAAAAAGTATATATAAATAATAATAATAATAATAATAATAATAAATTAGGAGGATCCGAGGAGGGCACATATACCAGGTTTCATGTTTGTGACAAAGCTACTAATCTAACCACCCCTTTACCCATGAGCTGGAAGGTTCCTTGCTTTGATATGTATGAGCGCATGGAACCGTGCTGAAGACCCAAAGCAGAAAGGTGGCCTCGTCTGATAGTGTGTCAGCTTTCACAGCCTAAAAAAATCATTATATTTAAAAACCTATTGGCTGAAGAGTTCTCACACCTGGGTTTGAACAGCTGATATCTCAATAACCTGCATACACACTGGCTCTTTGTGCATAAGATTACCCACCCCTGGTTTACAATATCATTGTATTAGATCAAGTAATATTTTGTGGTGATAAATGTTGACATTCAGAGCTGGATCATTTTGTTGGATTGCAGGACTAACAATATTCTGCATACTTTCTCAGCTTTTATAGATATTTTTATTTTAAACATTCCTAACTGTTTTGTGACGTGGCAATTTGAAAAACAGCAGTGACTTTATATTAAATGCATGCATTTCCCATAGTGGAAAAAAATCGAATCTCAAGAATTACAGTAAACAAACAAACATTAAGCAACAGACAGGAGGAGAATTTCTTTAAATGTCTGGTTACTTTTATTCAATTTGCATGCAGAGGGAGTCACACCTAAGATTTCTGTCACAGTGGCTCACTTCCACTGCAAGCGGTTACAGGTCGTATATGTCTTTAGTGACACATGACACATCCAAACTTCTGACTTAGATTTGTTGAGAATGATTTCTTACATTCCGTAACTAGTTTTTGCCCTTAGTAACTGAATTTGCTTACTTCAGCTCATGTGCAAGTGGTGCCCACACTATTTCAGTACTTTCCAAAGGTCACCATACACTCTAGATCACCTCCTGACTTTTTGACTCCGCTAACCATTTTTCAGCACTTCCCAGTTCTTCAAATAATGTGATCTTTTGCATTACATCTGTCTTGACCGTAGGCTCTTATCTTTACACTGATCTTCCTCGATTTATCGTTTCCACACCTCATTTAGCACCTTGAGCAGACTGTACATCTGCTCCATCAATATCAGCCCTATATATTTTTTCCAGATATCATCTCTCAGTGTTATTAAATCAGTCAACAACAACCATGCTTATGATGCACGTTTCATTTATGGATAACAAGATTACATCACTTCCTTCTTTAGGAATTTCTTCTACATTCTTGAATAGAACCATTGGATCTGGAAGCCATACATCTAATTCCAAGTACTTCTCCTAATGGAGTAGCTATTGAGGTTACTGCTTCAGGAGAGAACACACCATTCTTGACAGCAGCCACCCCTATGAGCTTCATTTTAACAGCTGCTTCCTTGGGCGGCCCTTAGATGGTGATGCTGTCGCTGCGGTTTCATGTCATGCTGCCGTGGTTTTGTCCCAGGAGCTGCAAATGGCACGCTGTCAGTCCCTGACAGACAGAGCTGTGATGGCGATCCTTTCCAACTGCAGCAACATCAGGATCTTCATCTTCCATGGCTGTCCACTGATCACAGGTACGCTTCACTTCACGAAACATTATTGAGCACAAGGTTAAGACAGAGCATAGCGAATAAAGCATATTTGGTGTAGTTTAGTAATGTTATCCCATTCAGTTCCTGGCAGAGAGATAAATAATAACGCTTTCATCAAAATGACAGATTGGGTCAAAGGTCACAAAAATCAAAAATGACAGGTCTTTGAAGTTCAAAGGGTCAGATAAATCAAA